TATATTGAGATAAAGAAATAAAAGAAAATTTATAGGAATACAATTAAATGTTTACTTATTGTTGTGGCTTTGTTAGGGCCAGAAATAAAGACGCAGGAGAGGAATTGAGTTAAACAAATATATCAAAAGAAACAGTAATACAAACATATACAAATGAGAGTGTTACAGCAAGAATTTTCAGTCCAACTGTCAGAACTGACTGCTGGAAACTTCCCTCTCTAAAAGGCAGTTCCTGCTCCTATTTATAGCTGGGTAAGTCCATGCATGTGTGGGTAAATTACCATAACACTTATCTTGTTTCCATTCAGTGTTTCACAGATATTACATTCAATCATCATGAATCTTTTTATTGTAAAATATAATACTATATTTGATATACGTGTTCATATATTTTTATTATGCTACATACCACCTCACTCACAACTGAAATCAAGAAGAATTTATCTAAACTTAATATAAAATTTGTCATAGCTACTTCAAAAATAATATGCAAATTTAATTAACACAAAAAATATAACAGCAACCTTTAGCCTGAATTTGGAATTTATGAAACAAACTGCAAAAGTTGTCCCAATAAAAACAAAGGTGAGACAGTCTGTAAAAATGTCCCAATAAAAAGAAAGGTGAAAATTAGAAAATTAAAATTTTTAATAATTATTATTTTCAAACTTAAATGTAAGTTTGAGCCTAAATTCAAATCCAAGATTAGATTATAGTGCAATTAAATATTTAACTACAGTAATAATTCACCCAAATGACAACATATCTTGCGAGACCCAGAAATATTAACCAAATGGTGTAAATTCAAATTAGTACCTATTATTGCACTAAGCATGAAACTCTGTGTTTAACTATCAGTATGGGTAATTATGTATATTCATTAATATATACTTAATAGCTCTACTATTTAGCATTGAGCACTGTTTTTCTTACAGCAGAGGATACATGTATGTATGTATTTGAACACTTTTCTGTGAGTTTTGAGAGAATAAGATGATTTTATTTTACTTGGCTATAGAATCAATTGGTATTTTATCTTTAATTGAAAAGTGAAAAGAGATGTAATGAATAAAATTAAAATAAAAACATTAAACCTGAAGAAAGAATTTACAAATATATCCCAAAAAATTAAAAAAGGAATTTACAGATTGTGACAGCTATTAGGGAAATATACTTTAATGTTTAAAAAAAAATTATTCACTATTATTATTGTTTAGGTAATAAGCATTAAAATATAGCACAAATAGCTATATTGTGGAAAAAATTTTTTTCCGACAATACATGCATTTTTTTTTACATATTGATGGTTACTTTTTTAACTTTTATCAAAATCGACAGTCTTGTACATGTAGTTATGGATATTATACATTAATTTCTAATTTTTTTTTTTTTAAATTAATAACTATTTGTGCTCAGTTGTTGACATTAATAGCTATCTGTTGATGTGTTAAAATTTTAGAATAATGCAATAATAAAAATTTAAATTTCATCTCTCTGATAGATGTTGCGATCTCTTAAATAAAAGACTATATGAACATAAAGGGTATATTTTACTAAACAATGAACTCAATGCATTAGTCATTCATCATAATAGGCCTTTCTTTTCTTAATCAATCCACCCCAAACAAGGTGATAATACCACTAAGATGCAAGAGGCTACTGGAAATGAAAGAGAAGAGGAAGACTTTAGAAGGAACTAGACAAGCAATAATCATATGAATTTCAGATTTCAGATGGAGACATTAGAAGTATACAGTTGAAATTGAATTTAGAAAGAACTGGAAACCCAGTCCTAAAGAGGAAACATGGGATAAACCTCTACTCCTGTCTATAAGATTGGGGAGCTGATGATAATTTTGACATAAAGAATACAGTTCTACTTAAAAGTGAAATAAATTTCTTAAGACAAAAATATATTGAAAACAAACTAATTTTGGAAAGCAATACGGTAAAAGACTTTGTTGAAGCCACTAAGACACAAGGGATTACTGGATGGGAAAGTATTGTTAAAAAAGACATTGTTAAGAAGAGCATCCAATAAAAGAACAGGAATTAAGAGGCTGGAATAGAGTTCCACCGTTTAAGAACTCAAAATGTAGAAGAAACTGTTAGCATAGAACTTATAGTTGCATCAAACCATTTCAACTGTAAAATGATGAGATCTTGCTGCCAATCAACTACTGTACTTGAATTTATAAAGTCAAGGTACCAAATAAAAAAGCACATCAGAACAATTACCATGAAAATATTTTTTTAGAAAAGGCACAGGGAAGCCATGTTACAGTTGTGGGAAAGTGACATAAGCTGAGATGTCAGGTCAGGACAGATAACATTGCAGATTCTTCTTTGGATTTTCTTAAGAATCTCTAAATATATAACAGAAACACCAAACCAATTAATTGATGTTTTTGGTATTTTTCCCACCACCTTTTTATATATAAAACTGATTCCATCAAGAAACCTGTTATAAGTCTGAAGAAATTCCTTCTTGAAATGAAATGTGTTGCAGAAAAGTTCTTCCATCTTGTCATGAACTTATCCACAATTAATTTCGTAATTGTTTTGATGAGCTTTCCTTTTTTGTACCTCAACTTTATGAATTTAAGCACAGTACTAGATTACCAGATAGGTTTCATTATTTTAGAGTTGAAATTGCTATATGTAACCGTAAGTTCTATGTTAACAGTTTCTTCTCTCACACTTCTCGCTTGTGGAAATCTTGTCCAGCTTCTTTTTGTGCAGTAAATTTGTATCTTCAAAAATTTAATTTCAGTGTCAATCATTATCTTCTGTCTTATTAATTCTTGTTCTTTTATTGTTCTCTCTCCTTAATAATGTTTTTCTTTTTCTCATATTCTTTCATACTTAGTCACGCCTTGTGTCATAAAGTGGCTTTATTTCCTTTTTGAATTTTTAAAATTAGCCAAAAAATATATATATATATATATATATATATATATATATATATATATATATATATAATGCATAAAAAAATTTTCTTATTTTGTTAGAAAAATTAAAAATATAAAACCCCAAATTTTTATCTAAAATAATTTTGTTATTCTCATGTAGAATTGAATTATTAAAACATTTACTTAATTTGGTAATCTTTTTCTATAAACCTGAAGCCCGTTCAATGACAGAAGAGATCTAACTCCCACTTAAAAACTATATTTGGCTTGTATGACATTTCATATTTTTTGTATAAACGACTCATGACTCAGTTTGTTTATTTTTTAAGCAAATTTGATTGCAACTGTTGACAAAAAAGCAATCCCACTACTGACTGACATCAGTGTGGCTTAAACAACTACAAAAAATGAAAAACAGATTCTTGTTCAATTAGCCTTTTACTTTAAGAGAAAAAAAATATTTTCATGTCAAACATTCTACTGAAGGAGGTCTTACATATATAAGTAAGAAATAATGACCAATGATGAAAATCTATTATTGAACTTTATAAAAATGAAATATCGATTTCATACAAATATTTTCTTTTCTCCATCCCCACACAACATGAATTGGTTAAATAGTAGAGGAGCTTGGGAACTCTAGCCTTGAATGGCAACTAGTGTGGAGGAAGGACTATTCTGAATTAAAAACTATATTCATTGTAATGGGAACACCTCTCCTGCTATCTTTCCCAGGAAGTCATGGCAATTTAAAAACAATAAAGAAAAGGAGTTGGGATGAACCACCATATTATATATATATATATATATATATAGTGTAAAAATAAAAAGAATACCAGATTATAAAAAAAAAAAAAAAAAATATTAATAAGAAGGATTACAAAAAAAAATATTGATAAGAACACCGGATTATATATCTTACTGGTCTTTCTATATATATATATATATATATATATATATATATATATATATATATATATATATGAAAAGAAAAAATACAGAAAAAACAAAATTCTGAATATGCATTATTAATGTAAAAAATAAAGTCGACGTCGGACGTTTCGGTCTATTTAAGACCATCTTCATGGACATTTTCATTTAAACATAATTAACATTATAACTTATAACAATTTAACACAAAAGACGATGGACATAAGAGCCCAACTAATTCAGACAGATAACTGAAATTTTATACAGATCAGCGTTCTGTTTAAATATGATCACGTAGTCGTCACGTGGCCGATGTTGTTAAGACGTATTCGAAGATGATTTCCAAAAAATTAAAATATCAAAAAGTCGAATGAAAATTTTTATAAACAATTAAAGAAATCTCTTCCGTTGATGTTGGAATACGTAGTGATCAATTGGTTCTTATATCTTCAACAAGCTTGAAAGTCTTTTCCGTTACAATGTAAATATAAAAAGTGATTTTAAAAACGATGGAACAGTTCTAAAAAACAGTTCGATAAAAATTCCATTTTTTACTTGATCAATAGATTCCCTCGTCCAAGCTTGAAATCTTCCACGTTATAAAGTAAATTCAGGTTTGTATATTTGTCGACTTTATTTTAACATTAATAATGCATATTCAGAATTTTGTTTTTTTCTGTATTTTTCTTTCATACTGTCGGATTTATATCCATATATTTGCTTACATACATATATATATATATATATATATAATAAAATTCAAAATCACTTCATATCGTCTGTCTTAACAACCTTGGTGTGGACTGAGTTTGTGTTAGAAATTTAACTGTGAAAGCTTTAAAAAAAATTTGAAAAGAAAAAAAAAGTTTGAAAAAAAAAAAAAAACAGTTAAAAAAAACTAATACAGAATTTATCCATTTCAATGTTTCAGTCAGACGAAATGCATGAGTCAGTGGTCAGGGGGGGTGGAAGGTATTTGTCTTGAAGATTATATACCAACGGTTTTGTTTTTATTTTATATATATATATATATATATATATATAGTGTGTATTTGTGTTTTCTGTTAGTTTTGTCAGAAGAATATTAGATGATCTTATTTTAGAGAACAAGCATTGTCATTTAGGAATGATTGTCTGAAGAGGAAATGGTTTTCTTCTTCAGAATTTAACCATATTTATCTGAACGTCTCCTGTTATTTCCAACGTATTCACACGGGAAATTGGCATTATCCGATGGTTGAATGCTGAATAATGTTGGTTGTTGACAGCAACCTGAAAAAAAAAAAAAAAAAATTAAAAGCAAAATTAAATGCTGGATATGAATATAATTTTTTTTTTCTCAGAAGAAATGATTTACCAAGGAAACACCTGATGACCTTCTACCACTGATCTTCTGAGAGTGTGCTAGCATACTGCATCACTGTTTGGTATACAAGCTGCTCAGAAGCAGACAAGAGAGCCCTCCAGAGGATTATATATATTGCCCAGAAAATAACCAGTTGCTTGCTACCATCCTTGGAAGACATTTCTAATTCCCGATGTTGTCACATCCAAGAATAGCGCATACTATCCCCAAATCCCCTGACCAGGAGTTAGCCAAGCCTGATAGGGGGTCTCAGTCTATGCTTTGGGACCCCCACTATCTTACCAACATTTGCTTTTTATACCTACATTTATATATGTTACGGTACAAGGTTAGGACCATGGAAGAACAACACGAAACACAAGAGTAGAAATAACAAAGAATATATTACATGAAAAATAATACAAGTGGAAGGTGTCAGTATGACTGTCAGACTGGTTTGGAGTGAACTACTATCAGCTCAACTTGATTTAATACCGTCCCAATACCGTTCGTCTCTCTTGAGAGGTGTAGTATATATAGCGTTAGGAAGAGTTCATTCTGTTGATCTAGGTAAGGACCATGACAATATACATTACAAATTAAACTAAGCACAACTCTCTATTAAATGAAAAATTTTCACCGATTTGGAAATCATTCTGAGGTCATATTGTTTTCACCCAAATCCGTGAATTTATTTTGGTCATGATAAGTCTCGAAATAAAAACACTCTGTATATATTCACAGATAGGTTTCACTTTTTTTACCAAAAATTTCACAAAATATTAGAGTTGCGACCTATCCGTTCGACATAAATGTAAAACAACACTACCTTGTAATCATGATTCCTGAGAAATATGATACCCATAAACACTAAAGCTGCGGATTCAGTTCTGAATGAATTTTAAAACTGTAACCTGATATATAAATAGATAACAGATAGATAAATCTGGTTTGACAGGAAATTGCTAAAACTGAAGGTGGGTACAATTTTTTGCAAAAACCAAGGCAAAGTTACAGGTGAACACAGTTTTTACTGGATAAGGTGATGTTCATTGCACTTAATGCAAAAAGCTGATGTTACAAATTTTATGTAGAGTGCTTGATAGTTTTCCTGCAACATTGGCTTCACACAAAAATTGTAAAAAACTGAAAAAAATAGGGTTTTTTGTACTCCAAAAAATGAAAAACAGATTCTTGTTCTATTAGACTTTTACTTTAAGAAAAAAAATTTTCATGTCATAGAAACTTGAACAACATTTTTTTATCTGATTTTCTTCAAACATGTCGCAAAAAATTTGCCATCATGCAAGAAATAAGATAGTGTGGTTTTACTTCTGCTCACTTCCCCACGTATAATGAAAAAAAAACACAAAAAACTGTTCAAAAAGCTTGTTTTTTGGTCATAACTCCCTGGTTTTTTGTCTGGTGCTTTTCAAATTTGCCATATGAATTACATATGACACACAAATTGTGAAGGACATTCCGTAAAAAGATGAGGCGGGGGGGGGGAGTAGCTTAGTATGCCAATGGATGATGTATGCAAGTGGGGATACAGGCAGACATTTATAGACAGTGAGGTGCATGTATACTTGGGGTGCAGTTATACAATTGCCGCCGTGTACACCCTATAAATATTTTTGTGGTAATTGTTATGAATTTAAGTGCAGTACTAGATTATCAACAAGTTGAATTGGTTGGATGTAACCGTAAGTTTTATGCTTACAGTTTCTTTTTCAGCACTTCTTGCTTGTGGAACTCTCTTCTGGCTTCATGCTTCCCAGACATCTTTGATTTTCAAAAATTTAAATGCAATGTCAATTGTCATCTATTATCTTCCTGATTACTCTTCTATTATTCTCGCTCCTTAATAATGTTTTTCTTTCTTAAAAAAAATGTTTAACTGATTTCGAGTTCTCTCTTGTTAGAGTTTTATCATGGACAAAAATTGTGCACAGCAAATAAAATAGAAATCACCCAGGTCAGGCCATTAGATATAATAAATATATATTGTATATTCATGTTGGTCTGTCTGTGCAAGTTTCATCTCAGCTATGTGGGCTTGCCGAAATTTCTTCATTTTATTTCATGTTTGTCTGTGCAAGTCTCAGTTATGTGGGTCTACAAAGATATTTTTTTTTATTTTATTTCATATTTACCTGTCTGTCTGTGCAAGTCTCCTCTCAGCTATGTGGACTGACCAAAATGTTTTTATTTTATTTTTATTTCATGTCTGTCTGTACAAGTCTCTCTTCAGCTATGTGGGTCTGCCAAAATGCTTTCATTTTATTTAATATGTCTGTCTGTACAAGTCACACCAGCATTATGTTTGTCTGTCAAAATGTTTTCCTTTTATTTTATTTCATGTCTGTCTGTACAGTCACCCCTTCACTATGTGGGGCTTCCAAAATGTCTTCATTTTATTTTATAAATGAGGAAGCTGTGACAGACCATTATCACTGACATACTGAAGTGACATTACAAGAAGAATAGAATAAATGTGATCAGTGCGAAACCTTTGGATGACGTGAAAACTTACCATAAAGCAATAGGGTTCAACAAGTATCATCATATCAAAGCTAACACCAGGACAAAATGGAAACAATCCCTGACTGTCTTCTTCTTCTCCCCAATCTCCATTTATAAAAGAATTTCGAATGACAACATTATGGCAGCTTCCAAATGAAAAGCGAACATCAAAATGGAGAGCAACTTCACAAGCAGATTTTAGGTTGACAGTGAATCTGAAAAATAAAAAAAATATTGAATATTCTCTCTGACAAATAATTAATTAAAGTAAAACTAATTAAAAAAATGAATTAATTAAATAAAAAATAATATTTCATTTGCTACTACTATTCAAGGACTCAATTTTTTTTTATATATATATATATATATATATATATATATATATATACTAGAAGCATGGCCCTATGTTGCCCATGCTTGATTCAAAATCATACAACTCATACAGCACTGCCTTTGCATAACCTGTTTCTTCCAGCAAAAGATACAGCGTGACCTTAAATTAGCATTTAGGAAATACCCAACCGGAAAAACATTTTTAAGGGTTGTCCGATTGTCTATTTGCACTCTGTTTGGGGGGTGCTCAGAGTTGAAACTTCACATGGTGACTCCCAAGGGCCTTCTCATAAATACGATCGGTTTTCACTAAAAACTGACATGCGGTTCAGGTGCAATCTGGGCGTATCGGCTTTTGGGTTTTATCGATTTTCCACGCTGTTTAGGGGTCCGTGGTCATGGAACTTCTGGACAACACTTCTAAAGGTAGACTCTAAGAGAGTGTCAAATTTGGTTGAAATGCAGTAATTCCTTCTGTAAGCAGATTTTTTCGATTATCGATTTTTTCAGAACCTGAGTCCGAACTGAAAAATCGGGCTGCGTCATGTCCTTAAGGCAGCCATTTGAAAACTTGTGGTGAAAACCACATAGAAATCGGGTGAGAAATGCAGCCTGGGCGAGGTAACAACGCCCACGACAGACACACAGACAGACAACATTATCGATTTTTTCGGAACCTGAGTTCGAACTGAAAAATCGGGTTCCGTCATGTCCTTAAGGCAGCCATTTGCAAACTTGTGGTGAAAACCGCAATGAAATCGGGTGAGAAATGTGGCCTGGGCAAGGTAACAACGCCCACAACAGACAGACAACATGAGAAATATAGATAGTAGATATATAAAAACACTGTGAATGTATGTATGGATACATGTTAGTACCCATAAAAAATATACAACATTTCAAGTATAATAGTCTCCAAAATTAATTAATGTTATTAGGGAATTTTAAAACAGTTCTTATGTCTGCAATTGAAGATAAGTTCATTCCATTGGTTCAATAATTCATCAGTATTTTTACACTATAATTTACCATTATAATTTTTCCTTTAATGCGCAGATTGCATCTGCCCCTGAACTTTTTTTATTTTCCTTGTTTGTGAATAAACTGAACTCCATTTATTTTTGTAAAACTGGACTGAAGAGATAGACATCTGAAATCTACAAAATAAATTATCGCCTGACCAAATAGATTTTTAAGGATATGGTATTCATCATTATATATATATATATATATATATATATATATATATATATATATATATATATATATATATATACACTAGCAGTAGAACCCAGCGTTTTTAGTGATGTTACAGTAAGAGACAGATCAAGTATCGACCATCATAAAAGACTGAAAAATAAAACTGACAAAGATTATTGTTTAAGGTTGATGGACACGCTTGCCTTAATTAGTTTTTTTTTTTTTTTTTTTTTATGAATTGGTCAAACCCAAACTCAAACAAAAACATTGTTTTCAATCGTTATGAGTCTACCGATTAAATAGAATTTTATTATACACAATTGTCTTATAAATGGAATTTTTAAAGCATTCTGAATGTAAAAATAAAGAAAAAAGTGTGCAAGAAAATAAGAAACACTAACTGCCAAAAAAAAAGTGAAGTTTTGTTGAAATCCAATCCCATATATAAACGAACACACACACACACGCACAAACAACCTGGGTTTTATATTAAGTATAACTCGATATGAGTTGTCCCCCTTTCATTCTGTGACAGCGATGCCTCTTAATCATGCTTTCAAAATGATTTTGTATAAAAACAATTGTATTTTCCCAATTTTTGGCACTGTCAGAACCACCGCAAGGTAATTTTATATAGTCCTGTGAAGTTTTGTTGAAATCGGTTGAAAAATGTAGGAAATCCGATCCAATATATAAACGAACAGACACACACACACACACACAACCTGGGTTTTATAATAAGTATGATATATAAAATATCATTTGTACTGTTTGAAATTGATCATTATTTATGGATAGTGTAATATACTCAAATTTATTGACACTATTCATATTCAAACTATTGTTCTTATTTTTGTTGTTTTTATCACGTTTCAACCATTGTGCCCTCCTGCCTTCATCAAGCATATATCAATCTGGATAACCTACAGGGAATTCCGAACAAGTCTATTTAACTTTTATCACCCTGTATGTGACTTCCTTTGCTTAACAAAAAGTTTATCCTGCCATTTAAGGTGATTCTGATCCCTGACTTTAAATTTGTTTGAATTTCATAGATGTGTTGTCATATCCTGCTATGGCAACGTAAAACAACTTTGAGTGAAATTAATAATAAGGATAATGTAATTAAAAGACCTTGAAAAAGAATGCAGTAGAATTGGTAAATCGAGTGGGAACTCTTTACAAAATTATAGAACATATCAAATGTCAATGATGATGCTTGAAATTTGGTCATTTTTTTTTTTTCATGGACACCTTAATTAATATCAACCAGATGCTTACCTGCTTGGATTGTAACTCTTGGGAAATCCACTTATCTGGATTACTTTTTGTGGGTAGATTCCTCCTGGAATAAGCATATTGAATGGGATGGACTAAAATAAATAGAAAAAAAATTTAATTTTTTTTAAATATCATAACATAAAGGTATTTTAACATATAATCATAGCAAATTTTCTTCTTGTTTTGCATAATGTTGCATCATTCACCCATTGGCAGAGCATATGTTGCCAGAAATAAGAGTATGGTTCACCTTTGGCCTAGTTAACATGTCTTCCTCATCTTTTGAACAGGAGAAGAGGTTTACCCCTTGATTACTATTGAGGATTGGGTTCCCAGTTCCTTTCCCTAAAGTCTTCTCTGTAGCAAAAAGAAGAGAGAAAAACAAAAAAGTGACGAGAGGGTTCGCTGGCAAAACCACCTGTTCTTCTTCGCTGTAGGTCGCTTCAAAGAAATGAATTGCGAGACTCCTTTTCTCGGCTGTTACACCGGGCAGTCGTGAAACAGACACCCAAATCAAACGTGCCTACTTCAATCGCCTCTTGGTCTGCTAGTCTATTCGCACGTCCGACTCTGTTTCACAAAGTCCGCCGAAAATGACACGTCTTCTCCTGTGCCACTGGCGCCTCGCCTTTTTATACTAGTCTGACACTGCTCAAATTTTCATGTGTACTGGTACAATCTCGTTTTGGACGAGACTGGCGCGCACGAATCGCATCCCCGACAGCAATCATATTTCCTTTTGGATTTGTCATGCAAGCAAGACACGTTCGCACACATTTCGAGCTCCGTGGTAAATCATCACATTCTCATTCTCTTAGACTCCCGGTAACTCTTTGCATCTTAGTGGCATTATTGCCTTGCATGGGGTGAAATGATAAAAAAAAGCAACTTCTTTCCACTCAAGGTTATAAGAGGCACAGTTTATGCGAACAGGTGAGGAGATTGGGAATCTTGATGAGGACCATAACAAAAGAGAATCATTGGGAGCAGGCCAGTAATGGCAATCACTGACATTAAATAGATGAACAAAAAGAGTTTACACTATTTACATAATTTGGACTATGGTCCTCATCTTTGTCGCTATATTTATTTCAATGTTTCAGCCGTTGTACACACCGGCCTTCAGTATCTGTCTATATTTCTGAGATGAGGTATTATGTACACTATTTACATAATTCGGACTATTGTCCTCATCTTTGTCGCCATATTTATTACAACGTTTCAGGCGTTGTACACTCCAGCCTTCGTCAGGTGATTGGAATGTCAAACTGAACCCTTTATTTTGCTCACTGGGGTAGACTGTTCTAGTTCCACGTGCCATGTCTAATTGATGTCAGTTATCAGTTATCTCCTGTTAATTCCCATCACCAAGTTCTCCACTGCCTTAACCAAGTATTGAAATCACACTGTTTGGGTCCTGTCATTGGATCTAACTAACACCTTTATCCACTGTGCCATGTATCCTGAAGAAGGCTGGAGCATACAACAGCCGAAATGCTGTAATACATATGGCGACAAAGATGAGGACAATAGTCCAAATAATGTAAATAGTGTACATAATACCTCATCTCAGAAATATAGACAGATACCAAAAAGAGTTTAGCTTAACTAGTGATGGGGTCAATCAGGAATCCACCCTGTTGTGTCTAGAGGGGACTAAAAAAGCAAATCAAGGTTGGCCCAATTCATATGAACCAGGCTCGCAATATTTACCCTTCTTTTGCTGAAATTTGCAAATTTCCTGTTTTACCTAATTTTGCATCATTTAACCATTGGCATAGCATATGTTACCATTTCTGATAACCGGCTAACAAGGGCTCTGGTGAAAATCCAAGGAGCGTCTGCATCGGCAACCGGCAGCTTCTGGTCGTTCCTGTCTCTGCATCTGTGGGAACCCTGCGGCAAGCAAGAACGTTATCCGAGAAGGCCTGGGTACCCTACTTCTGTAATTTATCCCAAGAATCTTCTTCTCTCAACAGGAAGAAGCCGGCTCAATCCGCCCAGGGTGAATGCCGCATCAAGTAAGTAAGTAAGTAAGGAGTAGACAGTAGATTGCCCGGTTAACATGCCTTCCTCATCTTTTGAACAGGAGTAGACTTGACTACTGTTTAAGATTGGGTTTCTGGTTCCTTCTCCTAAATTCTTCTCATTTTATTTCATTCCCAGTAATCCCTTGTATCTTAGTGGCACTATTGCCTTTCATAGGGTAAAATAATAAAACAAAGCAGTTAGGGTAAGGCATCCCTAACTCCTTACAACTCCTTTTCACCAGTCCAGTACTGAACCTCATCCCAAACACATATTTTAAGAAAATACTGATGTAATTTTTAAAAAAAAGGTGGTCAATGCCAATACACTCAAACTTATTTAAAATGATAATGTTAATAGCAAGATTAGCTTTTTTCTGTGTGAGAATTGGTCAGAATCACACACACAAAAAAAAAAAAAAACTATATGCAAGTCTGATAGGTCCAATCAGCAAAATAAATCTACAATTCTCTATTCTTTGAGATTAAAAACGCAACTCCCCCTTAGAAACAAGACTCCTCTTGAATGAGTATACTGTGCTTTTATGCACCTGACCCAGCCATCACTCAGCCAAATTGGCTACAAGCGACACCACTTCTGTCCACACGAAGTGCTGCCAGATTCACCTTCAGTCCGAAGCTTGCCAATTCACCATCTCCACGCTTTATTGCAAAACATACATGTGATTCTAGGTCTTTAGGTTTACCAACGTAAGTCTCTGCTACATTTCCTTATAAGGAAACATGTGACATTCACCAGTGAAATAGTAGTAGAATTTATTTGTAGAGACTAAGCTGTAAATATGACTATCACCTGTGCTTCTTTTGTTGGTTTGTCTGTTTGTTTGTTTGGGTTTTATGGCATATCAACCATTGTGGGTTATTTAATGCCAAATCCAGTTTATATGAATTTTAAATGCCTATTTTGAATGGAACATTTTTAGTAAGCTAGAGCTTATTTGCTTGCACACTGCAAAATAATCCTAGGTATTTTTTGTTTAAGTCAAGAATTTCCATTTCATTGTTGATTGTTTTGTTTAACGGCATCTCAACCTTAGTGGTCACTTTATGCCGAAAATGATTTTGAGTGACTTTAAAAGTCAAAAACGTATAGCTGGCAACATTATTGTTTCAAAAACGTATAGCTGGCAACATTATTGTTTCAAAAATGAATAGCTGGCAACATTATTTTTTTACAAAAAACTTATAGCTGGCAACATTATTGTTTCAAAACAGATAGCTGGCAACATTATTGTTTCAAAAACGTACAGCTGGCAACATTATTGTTTCAAAAATGCATAGCTGGCAACATTATTGTTTCAAAAACGCATAGCTGGCAACATTATTGTACCAAAAATGGATAGCTGGCAACATTATTGTTCCAAAAACGTATAGCTGGTAACATTATTTTTCCGAAAACATTATCTGAGGCCTTGCTGTTGGATGTAGTTTATCGCCATACCCAGGACGCGGATGTAGTTTATTGTCATACCCAGGACGTAGATGTAGTTTATCGTCATACTCAGGACACAGATGTAGTTTACCATCATACCCAGGACACTCTTTTGTTGGTTCCATTTATTTATTTATTGTCTTGTTAAAAACAATTTTGGTACAAGGCCAAAGGTGAAGTGGGGAGAGGCTGGACAACATTTACTATCCTAAAACTAGCTAATCAGATTCACAATTTATTCATTCATTACAATTTGCTTAATCACAAGAACTCATCCATTATCATTCAGTTCTCCATGTTCCACAATACAACATATTCACTGGGATTGAGATGCCCATGATATAAAAATTTTATAATGTCCAAATGTTTTTTTGGTTTTTCAATTTTCTTATGAAAATATCTAAAAATTTAAATGCATGAAATGAGGGGAAGGTGGTGAGCCCAATGAACAAAACTAAAATATAACAAAACATTCAAACTAAAATAAAATACGTTACTAGGATCCACCCCCACCACAAAAATAAGAGTGGCTGCTGTATTCTGCTAATAAGCAAAATCAAGATGATCGCTCACTCATGGAAAGAGAAGGACGAAATATATAGTGGAACAGGAAAATCAAAGACTGACCCAGTCGAGACGAAAAAAAAAGGAGGAGAAATAAAACAAACTGGGGAGATTGGGAATCTCAACATGAATCAAAAAAATGACTGCAAAAACGAAACCCCTGCTCCACCCCAAATTTATTCACAATTCATACAGATGCATGCTGGGATTTCTTCCTAGCCAATAATATAGACAAATTCTTAGTCTCATCCACCATTTTGTTCTTTCTTGTAGTTAGAATGCAACACCTACTTGAATGTATCCTTTCTGCATGTTCACACCATTCTTTTGCCTATTGCAACTTTTTGCCTATTACTGTTGCTTTGCCTACTTTTGTCTTGCATATATATACTGTATATAAGAAGGTTGCATCATACACAAGATATAAAATTAGCATATATACTGCTGGCACTGGCCATGCCGTTGACCAAACTATATATCCAATTTACTGTAGTCAAAAAGTACAGCTGTATTTAAAATAAACATGATTTTGATAAAACTAATGTTTTACTTAACTGTATCCAATAATAATGCGTATAAGTATCGTATTCTAAAATACAAACATAGCGAATATGCATCTTTACTATTGTTTACATTAATAAGATATTTAGCTGATCAAGACTACCAACTATGCTTTCTACAATACTTTTATCATTCTCTTTTACTTTTTTAACTTATTTAACTAGAAAATGGGATAAAGAGATAGAGGAAAAAAGGTTAGTCTATTGTAATTTGGTCTCTCCAAAAAAGGAACTCGCCTGATACACGAGATACATGATAAAATCATTTTTAACTTATTTAACTAGAAGATGGGATAAAGAGATAGAGGAAAAGAGGTTAGTCTATTGTAATTTGGTCTCTCCAAAAAAGGAACTCGCATGATACACGAGATACATGATAAAATCATTTTTAACTTATTTAACTAGAAGATGGGATAAAGAGATAGAGGAAAAGAGGTTAGTCTATTGTAATTTGGTCTCTCCAAAAAAGGAACTGGCCTGATACACGA